TGCCTCGTACGACGATCTTCATTGGAACTGCCTATTGAGATGCCGGATTCCAAAAAAATCAGCAATACCAGAGCGCTAAGGACTTTCCCTGATCTCCGGTCAGATGTGCTACTGTGGTAGGAAATCCTCCAGAAACTTCGTCCAATTCGGTAAATGTTCGACTTGCGATGCGAGTATCTGAACTTCTCTCGGGCTCCTCGTTTTTTCCATTTCCCAGCTTACCCAGGAGCTTAACTGCCATTATTGCGAACGTATTGCCAAAGTTGTGATAGGGCATCTGCTGATAATGTCTGTACCTTTCAGAAACATCTCATTTACCCATTATCGAGGTACTCCCATGTAAGGATGCTTTTCCGAATGTGAGGCTCAATGTTAAGGACAGATTACAATGAGTACTCCGTTACCGAAAGAAGGGGTCTCTCAATATATTCTGCTCCACATCCCATTCATAAGCTCTTGCTTCCAAGTATATCTCAGACCAGAACCCTAGATGTCTAGCGTGCCGAGTGTTTTTCCCTGGCCGTTGACTCGTTTAGTATTTCCTCATTCAGCGTGAAATTTATGAATAAACAAAAAGCCACACATAAGGTATTGAAGTTCATGGTAAAGGAAGAGGAAGGAAGAGTACAATATAAGTGAAATTGAACGTAATGCTGAGCCCCAATAGAACGTTTTGTCACATTTCCTGGTGAAGTTTTCCTTAAAGTTCAAAAGAAACAACTGTGGAGACTTCTTGGCTTACAGAAACATCGTTCTACTTCCTTGTAGGCATGCCGATCATTCTGGAACGTTACATCTATTGAATACAAATAGCACGTCCAGCGGAAATTATATCCAGGGGACAGCTGAAATATGTCGGCTAGTATTTTCTGTCTTGATCTCAGCTTTCCTCACTTTTGAATTAGTCAAAGCAAATTCAAATAACGGAACTATCCACAATTATGTCATCGTAGAGTTGAGCAAGTACTTCAGTACGTTGCAGACGTTCTGAAGTTGATCGAAACTGGTTAGACTCCGAAACTTACAGGCAGTTACAGATGCTTCACATAGATAGAATCTGGTCAGATGCGAAACATACTAGCGATTGAGGTGCTCTTACTTTTATCTGGTTTTGCCTCTAAGGTTGTGGTATGGGCATTGAAACGACCAACATTCTCTGGGACAATACCACCCTCAATTTTCCCCTAAATTCGCCTTTATACATTCACCTACACTTGAGAGATGCTTTTGTTCCTTATTCAGATGATGGATAAGGAACAAAAGCATCTCCCAAAGCATAAACTGAATGAATAGCTGCAACAACCTTTAACACTACATTCAGAGCACGCGAACTTCCTAGCGCGTATACGTATTTCGAGAGGAAAGTGTGGGCCTTCCCAATTAGGCCTCAATATGTACACCACATACAAACGGATTTCAAGGAACATCTCTGATCACCTCTTTCGTCGCCATAAACTTGACCAACTTCAGAAATGAATGACTTAAAAAAGCCCATACACTGAGGAACCTATCGCTTCCTTTGATAGCGATGTGATATTCTTAGTCGACACCCACGCCCTGCAACCCATAGGAGGGGAAGAAACAAATTCATGAAAACTAGCGGCCCGCATCCTCGTTCTCTGAAAGTTTTTGTCCCTCCCTTGTGTACTGTGATCCTCTTCTATGACTACAAGAACTTTTCCCATCTTCTGGAGGTGTTAAGCCGATGCCCTGTCACCCTTTGGCTCCATTTTCAACTTGCACCAAGGATTCGAGCGCCTCTTATCATCTGAACGATCATGAACTGTTAAGAACTGTAGCATTAAATGGTATTTCAAAGTCCATCGAGCAGGGAAAACGTTTTGAACGACCAGCACGATAGAAAGGGAAACGAATGTTGACAGACGCTCTGCTGGTATTTTTCTAAAGATCAATCTATAGGGAAGCATCAAGAAATCTCATTCGCACTGACAGTCGCCTGTGGCGACAAGGGATTTTGCCTTTATGAGCGGTGGAACTTTGGTGATCTATGCTTCGAATTATGGGTTCTGAATTCGTCTTTACACTCGCAAGAGGGCTGATGCGCTTCTTGGATATATGCAAATTATTTCGAGTTGCATTTTTGGTTTCTGAAGAAAACGATTGCATCGAAACGTTGGATCGTTGTTCAAATAAGTTGCTCCACCTAACAAACTCGCATTGCACAAAAGTATTTGAACCAGAAACACGATGCCGAGGTAAAACAATAGAGAAGTTGGAGACCATGTGGACTAAGTGTCGTGGTATACCACGACATTCATCCATTTGCATTGCAGACATTCCTTATGCATATTTCCGCATAGTTCGATCACAGTTCCCAGTCATTCATTGTAATGTTTTCGCTCGCATGGAGCTTTTATAACAGTGCCTGCGTAACAATGTGGCTGCTTCGCCAAATAAAGCTTGTAGCGAACGGTCAGTTTTGGTGCATCGTCCGGTAATACTGATCTCGCTGCTCCCACAGGCAGTAGCCTCACCGAGAATGCTGTGCAGGAAAGATTCCTTGTGGGTAACTCCCCCACAAAGTAACTTTACGCTCTGCATACGCAAAACATGCAGGTTCTTCCCGCCAACAGACAAGGAGCTGAGGTTACAAATCCCACCTTCAAGCAGGAGTGGCAGTATAAAGCCTCAATGATTTACATGGAAAAAGCCGCCCCAAAAACCTTTACAATCAGTTGCACGCTTCCGCAAGTGTGTGATGTGTCCAAAACTCTGTTATCGAGAAATCGTTTGGAGAATCCTCATTGTTGGCCATTAGGCGCCCTCATATCCATTGCCTTACTAGCGTACATTATCATTTCTATAAGCATGCTGGTAGTCTGGATCATACGAAAACGAAGAAATGGAAATGAGCCGCATAGCTCACTGGGAGAAACACGCGACAATAGAATCACTAGCACTGGCTCGTCACCCGCCGCGGCAAAAGCTCTCGAATGCACTTGCATGCACGCTGGAGGGAGCGATCGCAATGATACCAGCATCGCGCTGAAAACATTCCACCCAATGCCGTTCAGGCGCGCGTTGATAAACACAGCCATCATCATATCCGTAATGACGTAACATAATGTGGGCGCACGTCAATTAGGTAAACGAGACATTACGCTGAAACGCTGTACGTCACAGCACAGCTGTTCATTTCATTTCACTAGGGAAATCCTTTTTAATGACATCACGAACACTATTTGCATTGAAGTCTTGCAGGCCAACAACTCTTCAGGTACCATCCGTGTAGAAAGACTTCCGACAGAGTTGAGTTGCTCTGGGCGCATCCTGTTCTTCAAGGGATACGGAAATTGAAGTCTTCAGCGCTACCAGATGTGCACAGATGGGGTCGTGCAGAAACGATATATGCTCAAAATAAGCTATGTATGATAGTGAAATTGCTGAGATTGCTAACGCTTCCAAGTTCCCAGGTTATTCCGGGTGTGAAAGGTCTGCGGAGGT